CACTACTGACTATACACTACTACACTAGACACTACTACACTATCACTACTACACTATACACTAACAACTCTACACTATACACTACTACACTATACACTACTACACTACCTATACACATACACTATACACTACTACACTATACACTATACACTACTACACTATACACTACTACACTACACTATACACTACTACACTATACACTACTACACTACACTATACACTACACTATACACTACTACACTATACACTACTACACTATACACTACACTACACTATACACTACACTATACACTACTACACTATACACTACTACACTATACACTACTACACTATACACTACTACACTATACACTACTACACTATACACTACTACACTATACACTACTACACTACACTACTACACTATACACTACTACACTCTACACTACTACACTATACACTACTACACTATACACTACTACACTATACACTACACTATACACTACTACACTATACACTACTACACTATACACTACTACACTATACACTACTACACTATACACTACTACACTATACACTACTACACTACACTATACACTACTACACTATACACTACTACACTATACACTACTACACTATACACTACTACACTATACACTACTACACTATACACTACTACACTATACAATACTACACTATACACTACTACACTATACACTACTACACTATACACTACACTATACACTACTACACTATACACTACTACACTATACACTACTACACTATACACTACACTATACACTACTACACTATACACTACTACACTATACACTACTACACTATACCTACACTACTACACTATACACTACTACACTATACACTACTACACTATACACTACTACACTATACACTACCTACACTATACACTACTACACTACTACACTACTACTATACACTACCTATACACCTACTACACTATACACTGCTACACTATACACTACTACACTATACACTACTACACTATACACTGCTACACTATACACTACTACACTATACACTACTACACTATACACTTACTACACTATACACTATACACTATACACTACTACCTACACTATACACTACACTATACACTTCTACACTATACACTAATACATACTACACTACATATACACTAATACACTACACTTACACTATACAGCTATACACTACACTATACACTACTACACTATACACTACTACACTATACACTACTACACTATACACTACTACACTATACACTACTACACTATACACTACTACACTATACACTACTACACTACACTACTACACTACACTATTACACTATACACTACTACACTATCACTACTACACTATCTACTACTACACTAACACTATACACTACTACACTATACACTACTACACTACACTATACGCTACTACACTATACACTACTACACTACACTACACTACACTATACACTACTACACACTACACTGTACACTACTACACTATACACTAATACACTATACACTACTACACTATACACTACTACACTACACTATTCACTACTACACTATACACTCTACACTATACACTACTACACTATACACTACTACACTATACACTACTACACTATACACTACTACACTATACACTACTACACTATACACTACTACACTATACACTACTACACTACACTATACACTACTACACTATACACTACTACACTATACACTACTACACTATACACTACTACACTATACACTGCTACACTATACACTACTATACTATACACTACTACACTATACACACTACACTATACACTACTACACTATACACTAGTACACTATACACTACTACACTATACACTACTACTATACACTACTACACTATACACTACTACACCATACACTAACACTACACTATACACTACTACACTATACTACTACACTATACACTACTAGACTATACACTACTACACTATACACTACTACACTATACACTACTACACTATACACTACTACACTACACTATACACTACTACACTATACACTACTACACTATACACTACTACACTATACACTACTACACTATACACTACTACACTATACACTACTACACTATACACTACTACACTATACACTACTACACTATACACTACTACACTATACACTACTACACTATACACTACTACCTATACACTACTACACTATACACTACTACACTACTACACTATACACTACTACACTATACACTACTACACTATACACTACTACACTATACACTACTACACTATACACTACTACACTACTACACTACTACACTATACACTACTACACTACACTATACACTACTACACTATACACTACTACACTATACACTACTACTACTACACTACTACACTATACACTACTACACTATACACTACTACACTATACACTACTACACTATACACTAACTACACTATACACTACTACACTATACACTACACTATACACTACTACACTATACACTACTACACTATACACTACTACACTATACACTACTACACTATACACTACTACACTACACTATACACTATACACTCTACACTATACACTACTACACTATACACTACTACACGATACACTACTACACTATACACTACTACACTATACACTACTACCTACACTATACACTAATACACTACTACAATATACACTACTACACTATACACTACTACACTATACCAATTACTCCTACACTACACATACACTACTACCTTACACACTACTACACTATACACTACTACACTATACACTACTACACTATACAATACTACACTATACACTACTACACTATAACACTACTACACTATACACTACTACACTATACACTACTACACTACATACACTACTACACTATACACTACTACACTACCTACACTATACACTAATACACTATACACTACACTATACACTACTACACTATACACTACTACACTATGACCACTACTACACTATACACTAACTACAACTATACACTACTACACTATACACTACTACACTATACTACTACACTACTACACTACTACACTATACACTACTACACTACACTACTACACTACTACACTATACACACTACTACACTATACACTATACACTACTACACTATACACTACTACACTATACACTACTACACTATACACTACTACACTATACACTACTACTACTACTACACTATACACTATACACTACTACACTATACACTACTACACTACTACACTATACACTACTACACTATACACTAATACACTATACACTACTACACTATACACTACTACACTATACACTACTACACTATACACTACTACACTATACACTACTACATATACACTACTACACTATACACTACTACACACACTATACACTACTACACTATACACTACTACACTATACACTACTACACTATACACTACTACACTACACTATACACTACTACACTATACACTACTACACTATACACTACACCTATACACTACTACACTATACACTACTACACATACACTACTACACTATACACTACACTAACATACTACACTATACACTACTACACTATACACTACTACACTATACACTACTACACTATACACTACTACACTATACACTACTACACTATACACTACTATACTATACACTACTACACTATACACTACTACACTATACACTACTACACTATACACTACTACACTATACACTACTACACTATACACTACTACACTATACACTACTACACTATACACTACTACACTATACACTACTACACTATACACTACTACACTATACACTACTACACTATACACTACTACACTATACACTACTACACTATACACTACTACACTATACACTACTACACTATACACTATACACTACACTATACACTACTACACTATACCTACTACACTACACTACACTATACACTACACTATACACTACTACACTACTACACTTTACATATACACTACTACACTACCACTATACACTACACTATACACTACTACACTATACACTACTACACTATACACTACTACACTATACACTACACTACACACTACAACTATACACTACTACACTACACTACTACACTATACACTACTACACTATACACTACTACACTATACACTACTACACTATACACTACTACACTATACACTACTACACTATACACTACACTATACACTACACTATACACTACTACACTATACACTACTACACTATACACTACTACACTATACACTACTATACTATACACTACTACACTATACACTACTACACTATACACTACTACACTATACACTACTACACTATACACTACTACACTATACACTACTACACTATACACTACTACACTATACACTACTACACTATACACTACTACACTATACACTACTACACTACACTACTACACTTTACATTATACACTACTACACTACACTATACACTACTCACGGCTCCCTCTGCAGCTCCGCCCCCCAGTATGGCTGCCCGCCTGCTGCCGTTGCCGCGTCGACCCCGGGGCCTGCTGACGCTGCCGACGCTCAGCCTGGGCTCGCCTGGGGCTACGCACTGCCGCCACCACCACCTCCACCACCACCACGCCTCCTGCTCATCCCTCACCTCCTCCACCTCCTCGTCCCTCACCTCCTCCATCTTCACCTCCTCCTCCTCCTCCTCCACCTCCTTCTCCACCTCCTCATCCTCGGCTTCTCGTTCCTCCGTGGGGCCGACGGAGCAAGCGGCGATGGAGAGGAGGAGGGAGGTGAGGAGGAGCTCCTTCCTGGGCGACGTCACGGTGAGCGGTGGGGGGGGGGGGGTGGTGGTGGGCACCTCGTCGTGCTCATCGTCGTCGTCATCGTCGTCATGATCGTCGTCATCGCCAGTGTCATCAGTGTCATCATCAGTGTCGTCGTCGTCAACGTCATCGTCATTATCATCATCGGTGTCATCATCTTCATTGTCGTCATCAGTGTCATCATCGTCATCATCAGCGTCGTCATCATCATCGTGATCATCGTCATCATCGTGATCATCAGCATCATCGTCTTCATCATCATCAGTATCATCATCATCGTCAGTATCATCATCAGTGTCGTCATCATTGTCAGTGTCATCGTCATCATCGTCAGTGTCATCATCATCGTCAGTGTCATCATCGTCAGTGTCATCATCATCAGTGTCATCATCGTCATCATCATCGTCATCATCAGTGTCATCATCATCAGTGTCGTCATCATCAGCGTCATCATCATCAGTGTCATCATCATCAGTGTCACCATCATCAGTGTCATCATCAGCGTCATCATCAGTGTCATCATCATCATCAGTGTGATCATCATCAGTGTCATCACCATCATCAGTGTCATCATCATCGTCATCATCAGTGTCATCATCATCAGTGCCATCATCATCAGTGTCATCATCATCAGTGTTATCACCATCATCATCAGTGTCATCATCATCATCAGTGTCATCACCATCATCAGTGTCATCATCATCAGTGTCATCATCATCAGTGTTATCACCATCATCATCAGTGTCATCATCAGCATCATCATCAGTGTCATCACCATCATCAGTGTCATCATCATCAGTGTCATCATCACCATCATCAGTGTCATCATCATCAGTGTCATCACCATCATCATCAGTGTCGTCATCATCAGTATCATCATCAGTGTCATCATGTATCTCTATGAGTCTCTTTCTCTATGAGTCTCTATGTGTTTCTATGAGTCTCTATGTATCTCTATGAGTCTCTATGTATATGTATCTCTATGTGTCTCTATGATTCTCTACGATTCTCTCCGTATCTCTACGTATCTCTATGTATCTCTATCAGTCTCTATGTATCTCTATGTGTCTCTATGAGTCTCTATGTATCTCTATGTATCTCTATGTGTCTCTATGTGTCTCTTTGAGTCTCTGTGTATCTCTATGACTCTTTATGTATCTCTATGGGTCTCTATGTATCTCTACATACCTCTGTATATCTCTACGTATCTCTATGTATCTCTATCAGTCTCTATGTATCTCTACGAGTCTCTATGAGTCTCTATGTATCTCTACGTATCTCTGTGAGTCTCCGCGTATCTCTACGTATCTCTACGTATCTCTACGTATCTCTGTATATCTCTACGTATCTCTATGTATCTCTATGTATCTCTATGAGTTTCTATGGTATCTCTATGTATCTCTGTGAGTCTCTATGAGTCTCTGTATCTCTACGTATGTCTACGTATCTCTATGTATCTCTCTATGAGTCTCTACGATTCTCTACGTGTCTCTACCTATCTCTATGTATCTCTATGAGTCTCTATGTATTTCTATGTATCTCTATTAGTCTCTATGAGTCTCTATGTATCTCTATGAGTCTCTATGAGTCTCTACGTATCTCTATGTATCTCTATGTATCTCCACGTATCTCTACGTGTCTCTACGTATATCTATGTGTCTCTATGAGTCTCTATGTATCTCTATTAGTCTCTATGAGTCTCTATGATTCTCTCCGTATCTCTGTGAGTCTCTACGTATCTACGTATCTCTACGAGTCTCTACGTATCTCTATGACTCTCTATGTATCTCTGTATATCTCTACATATCTCTACGAGTCTCTGTATATCTCCACATATCTCTATGTATCTTTACGAGTCTCTACGTATCTCTACGAGTCTCTACGTATCTCTACGTATCTCTACGTGTCTCTACGTATCTCTATGTATCTCTACGTGTCTCTACGTATCTCTATGAGTCTCTATGTATCTCTACGTATCTCTATGTGTCTCTACGTATCTCTACGTATCTCTACGTATATCTACGTGTCTCTACGTATCTCTACGTATCTCTATGAGTCTCTATGAGTCTCTATGTATCTCTACGTATCTCTACGTGTCTCTACGTATCTCTACGTATCTCTATGACTCTCTATGTATCTCTACATATCTCTACGTATCTCTGTGAGTCTCTACGTGTCTCTACAAGTCTCTACGTATCTCTATGACTCTCTATGTATCTCTGTATATCTCTACGTATCTCTATGAGTCTCTACGTATCTCTATGAGTCTCTACTTATCTCTATGACTCTATGTATCTCTATGTATCTCTATCAGTCTCTTTGTATCTCTTTGAGTCTCTATGTATCTCTACGAGTCTCTACGTATCTCTACGAATCTCTACGTATCTCTGTATATCTCCACGTATCTCTACGTATCTCTATGAGTCTCTATGTGTCTCTGTATATCTCCACGTATCTCTACGTATCTCTGTGAGTCTCCACGTATCTCTACGTATCTCTACGTATCTCTGTGAGTCTCTACGTATCTCTACAAGTCTCTACGTATCTCTATGACTCTCTATGTATCTCTGTATATCTCTACGTATCTCTATGAGTCTCTACGTATCTCTATGAGTCTCTACTTATCTCTATGACTCTCTATGTATCTCTATGAGTCTCTATGTATCTCTACGAGTCTCTACGTATCTCTATGAGTCTCTACGTATCTCTGTATATCTCCACGTATCTCTACGTATCTCTATGAGTCTCTATGTATCTCTACGTATCTCTACGTGTCTCTACGTATCTCTACGTATCTCTATGAGTCCTCTACGTATCTCTGTATATCTCTATGATTCTCTACGTATCTCTGTGAGTCTCTACGTATCTACGTATCTGTACGAGTCTCTACGTATCTCTATGAGTCTCTATGTATCTCTGTATGTCTCTACGTATCTCTACGTATCTCTATGTATCTCTATGAGTCTCTATGTATCTCTACGTGTCTCTACGTATCTCTACGTATCTCTATGACTCTCTACGTGTCTCTGTATATCTCCACGTATCTCCGCCTATCTCCGCCCATCTCCCAGGCGCTGTGTACAAGCGGTCGTGCTCCCCCGGCCGCCCTCTGGCTGGGCTTTGGGGGCCTCCTGCCGCTCGGCCTGGCCCCGGCCGCCCTAGGCCTGGGCCTAGAGGCCTGGGGGCCTGGCCTGGCCTGGGCCCAGCTGACGTACGGAGCCTGCCTCCTCGCCTTCCTGGGGGGCTCACGCTGGGGGGCCGCCGTGGTTCACGATCACGGGAGGTGGCCGAGAGAGGGGGAGGTCAGGTGGGTGGGTGGGTGAGAGTGGTGAGTGGGTGGGTGGGTGGGTGAGTGGGTGGGTGGGTGAGTGAGTGAGTGGGTGAGTGAGTGGCTGAGTGAGTGGGTGGCTGAGTGGGTGAGTGAGTGAGTGAGTTGGTGAGAGGGTGAATTAGTGAGTGGCTGAGTGAGTGAGTGGGTGAGTGAGTGAGTGGGTGAGTGAGTGAATGGTGAGTGAGTGAGTAAGTGGCTGAGTGAGTGAGTGGCTGATTGAGTGAGTGAGTGGCTGAGTGAATCAGTGGTGAATGAGTGGCTGAGTGAGTAAGTGGCTGAGTGAATGAGTGGTGAATGAGTAGCTGAATGAGTGAGTAAGTGGCTGAGTGAGTAAGTGGCTGAGTGAGTGAGTGGCTGAGTGAATGGTGAGTGAGTGAGTAAGTGGCTGAGTGAGTGAGTGGCTGATTGAGTGAATCAGTGGTTAATGAGTGGCTGAGTGAGTAAGTGAGTAAGTGGCTGAGTGAATGAGTGGTGAGTGAGTAGCTGAATGAGTGAGTAAGTGGCTGAGTGAGTAAGTGGCTGAGTGAGTGAGTGGCTGAGTGAATGGTGAGTGAGTGGCTGAGTGAATCAGTGGTGAATGAGTGGCTGAGTGAGTGAGTGGTGAGTGAGTGAGTGAGTGGTGAGTGAGCGGCTGAGTGACTGAGTGAGTGGCTGAGTGAATGAGTGGTGAGTGAGCGAGTGATGGGCCCAGCTGACGTACGGAGCCTGCCTCCTCGCCTTCCTGGGGGGGCTCCTGCTGGGGGGGCCGCCGTGGTTCACAACCACGGGAGGTGGCCGAGAGAGGGGCAGGTCAGGTGGGTGGGTGGGTGGGTGGTGAGAGGGTGGGTGGGTGGTGAGAGGGTTGGTGAGTGGGTGAGTGACTGAGTGAGTGGCTGAGTGAATGAGTTGTGAGTGAGTGGGTGGGTGAGTGAGTGGGTGGCTGAGTGAGTGGGTGGGGTGAGTGGCTGAGTGAGTGGGTGGGTGAGTGAGTGGCTGAGTGAGTGAGTGGCTGAGTGAGTGGGTGGGTGAGTGGGTGGGTGAGTGAGTGAGTGGCTGAGTGAGTGTGTGCATGAGTGGCTGAGTGAGTGGCTGATTGAATGGCTGAGTAAGTGGCTGGGTGAGTGGGTGAGTGAGTGGCTGATTGAGTGAGTTGGTGGGTGAATGAGTGAGTGGGTCAGTGTATATGTGTGTGTCTGTGTGTGTGTCTATGTGTGTGTCTATGTGTGTGTGTCTATGTGTGTGTCTATGTGTGTGTCTATGTGTGTGTCTATGTGTGTGTCTATGTGTTACATATTTCAGTCGTGGTTTAGTGGCAATTAAGTGAAGGTGGAGGGGTTACCGGCCCCTCGCACCCGTCCAGAGCCCCCGTTTAGCCACTGTGGTGGACACAGACGCCATGAGGGGAGGAGCCAATCGGAATTGGCCCTCCCCCCACAGCACTGTCCACGACAGAGTTGCCCGTCCGGCAACGCGAGGAGGTCGGGGGTTGTTTTTTGTACCATCGGACACTCCACCCCCACAACTCCCAATCGGTGATGGGGCAGTTGTGGAGAGAGTGGAGAGTTTCCCATACCTGGGCAGTGTGCTTATGACTGGCTCCAGTTTAACAGCAGAGGTCTCATTCCGAATCAGTCGAGCGGCAATATCTTTTCATCGGTTGCGTAACGCTGTGTGGGAGCTACCTGGTCTGTCGCTCCGCACTAAGCTTCAGGTCTTCTCTGCCACGGTCATTCCCTCCCTTCTCTACGCTTGCGAAACGTGGACCCCCCTAGTGGAACATCTTCGCCAGTTAGAAACATTTAGGCTGGCCTGCCTACGATCCATCCTGGGTTTAACCAGACTGGATTGTGTGAGAAGCTCACAAATCCTTGAAAGATCTGGGCAGGGTCCCATCGGTGAGCTCCTCCGGCAGGCAAGGCTGCGATGGCTGGGTCATGTAGCCCGCATGCCCAGCCACCGCATGCCGAAACAGCTTTTGTTTGGCCGGATTGAGGGGGCTAAGCGGGCGCGGCACGGGCTAGAGAAGATATGGAGTGACGTGGTACAGGAGGACGTGAAGCTGAGTGGACTTGCCGATGACCGGTACCAGCGGTGTCAAGATCGGCCTCTGTGGAGGAGGCTCGTGAAGGACGCTACTGGGCAGTTGGAGGCAGTCGCCCTCCAACAACAACGGAGGGCGGAGGAGCGACGCTCACAACAACGAGCGGAGCGCCGGGTGGCTAAAGCACAGCAGGTTGGCACAGTAGGGGGCACAGGTGGTGCATCAGCCAGTCATCTCAGTCAGTCGACCCGTGGCACCTGGGTCTGCCCCGTGACCTCCTGCCAGCGGGCGTTCGACACTTCACGTGGCCTCAGGGTGCACATAGCCTGGCACAAGCCTCGTGGTGACGTCACCGCCACTTAGTGGCGAATGGCGGTTGTTGTTGTTGTTGTTGTGTGTGTACTGTGTGTGTGTCACTGTGTGTGTGTGTGTATGTGTGTGTGTGTCTATGTGTGTGTGTACACTATGTGTGTGTGTGTGTCTATGTGTGTGTGTGTCTATGTGTGTGTGTCTATGTGTGTGTGTGTCTATGTGTGTGTGTGTACACTATGTGTGTGTGTACACTATGTGTGTGTGTACACTATGTGTGTACACTATGTGTGTGTGTGTCTGTGTGTGTGTGTGTCTCAGTGTTAATGTTGCGGCTGCCGTTACCCACAATGCACCACTCCGCGCCCGTGTCTCCCCCTCCTCCACTCCCACAGAGTCCTGGTGACCCCTGCCGTGACCCCTGTGACCCCGACCGTGACCCCCGTGACCTCTACCGTGACCCCTTCGACCGTGACCCCCACCGTGACCCCCGCCCTGACCTCCTTGACCCCCGCCGTGGCCTCCGTGACCCCCTCCGTGACCTCCGGTGACCCCTACCGTGACCTCGGGGACTTTGACCACCCGGTGGACCCGGTCAGCCCCGTGTCGAGGATTCGTCTGCGTGCTGATTGGCTGAACCTGGGCCACGGGGCGGTGCCTCCACTGCTGGGGTGGGCGTCGCTCATCGTGGCTGGTAGGGTGGGGGGGTGGGGGCGGGTGGGGGGTGGGGTGGGTGGGGGTGGGGGGTGGCTGAGTGAGTGGGTGAGTGAGTGAGTGGGTGAGTGAGTGAGTGGGTGAGTGGGTGAGTGAGTGGGTGGGTGAGTGAGTGAGTGGGTGAGTGAGTGGGTGGGTGAGTGGGTGGGTGGGTGGGTGAGTGAGTGAGTGGGTGAGTGAGTGGGTGAGTGAGTGAGTGAGTGGGTGGGTGAGTGGGTGAGTGAGTGGGTGGGTGAGTAGGTGAGTGAGTGAGTGGGTGAGTGGGTGAGTGAGTGGGTGGGTGGGTGGGTGAGTGAGTGGGTGAGTGAGTGAGTGGGTGAGTGGGTGAGTGAGTGGGTGGGGTGAGTGAGTGAGTGAGTGGGTGGGTGAGTGGGTGAGTGAGTGGGTGAGTGAGTGAGTGAGTGGGTGAGTGAGGTGAGTGAGTGGATGAGTGAGTGGGTGGGTGAGTGAGTGGGTGAGTGAGTGAGTGAGTGGGTGAGTGAGTGAGTGGGTGAGTGAGTGGGTGAGTGGGTGGTGGGTGAGTGGGTGGGTGAGTGGGTGAGTGAGTGAGTAGGTTGAGTGGGTGAGTGAGTGAGTGGGTGAGTGAGTGAGTGAGTGGGTGAGTGAGTGGGTGGGTGAGTGGAGTGGTGAGTGAGTGAGTGGGGGAGTGAGTGAGTGGGTGAGTGAGTGGGTGAGTGGGGGAGTGGAGTGAGTGGGTGAGTGAGTGGGTGAGTGGGGAGTGAGTGAGTGGGTGAGTGGGTGAGTGAGTGAGTGAGTGGGTGAGTGAGTGAGTGAGTGGGTGAGTGGGTGAGTGAGTCGGTGAGTGAGTGAGTGAGTGGGTGAGTGAGTGAGTGGATGAGTGAGTGGGTGGGTGAGTGAGTGGGTGAGTGAGTGAGTGGGTGAGTGAGTGAGTGGGTGAGTGAGTGGGTGAGTGGGTGAGTGAGTGAGTGGGTGGGTGAGTGGGTGAGTGAGTGGGTGAGGTGAGTGGGTGAGTGAGTGAGTGGGTGAGTGAGTGAGTGGGTGAGTGAGTGGTGTGAGTGGGTGAGTGAGTGAGTGGGTGAGTGGGTGAGTGAGTGAGTGAGTGGGTGAGTGAGTGAGTGAGTGGGTGAGTGGGTGAGTGAGTGGGTGAGTGAGTGAGTGAGTGGGTGAGTGAGTGGGTGGGTGGGTGAGTGAGTGGGTGCGTGAGTGAGTGAGTGGGTGAGTGAGTGAGTGAGTGGATGAGTGAGTGGGTGGGTGAGTGAGTGGGTGAGTGAGTGAGTGGGTGAGTGAGTGAGTGGGTGAGTGAGTGGGTGAGTGGGTGAGTGAGTGAGTGGGTGGGTGAGTGGGTGAGTGAGTGAGTAGGTGAGTGGGTGAGTGAGTGAGTGGGTGAGTGAGTGAGTGAGTGGATGAGTGAGTGGGTGGGTGAGTGAGTGGGTGAGTGAGTGAGTGGGTGAGTGAGTGAGTGGGTGGGTGGGTGAGTGAGTGAGTGAGTGGGTGGGTGACGTGAGTGAGTGGGTGAGTGAGTGAGTGAGGTGGGTGAGTGAGTGAGTGAGTGGGTGAGTGAGTGAGTGAGTGGGTGAGTGAGTGAGTGGGTGGGTGAGTGGGTGAGTGAGTGAGTGGGTGGGTGGGTGGGTGAATGAGTGAGTGGGTGGGTGTGAGTGAGTGAGTGGGTGGGTGGGTGGGTGAATGAGTGAGTGGGTGGGTGTGAGTGAGTGAGTGGGTGGGTGGGTGGGTGAATGAGTGAGTGGGTGGGTGTGAGTGAGTGAGTGGGTGGGTGGGTGAGTGGGTGAGTGAGTGATGGGTGGGTGGGTGAATGAGTGGGTGAGTGAGTGGGTGGGTGAGTGGGTGGGTGGGTGGGATGGGTGAGTGGGCGGGTGGTTGAGTGAGTGGGTGGGTGATTGAGTGTGTGTGTCTATCTGTGTGTGTCTATCTGCGTGTGTGTCTATCTGCATGTGTGTCTATCTGCGTGTTTGTCTATGTGTGTGTCTATGTGTGTGTGTCTATCTGTGTGTGTTTATCTGTCTGTGTTTGTGTGTTTATCTGTGTGTGTGTGTGTTTATCTGTGTGTGTGTCTATCTGTGTGTGTCTATCTGTGTGTGTCTATCTGTGTGTTTGTCTATCTGTGTGTGTCTATCTATGTGTGTGTGTCTATCTATGTGCTGTGTGTGTGTCTTTCTGTGTGTGTGTCTATCTGTCTGTGTGTGTGTCTATCTGTGTGTGTCTATCTATCTGTGTGTGTGTCTATCTATCTGTGTGTGTGTCTATCTATCTGTGTGTGTGTCTATCTATCTGTGTGTGTCTATCGGTGTGTGTGTGTCTATCTGTGTGTCTATCTATCTGTGTGTGTCTATATGTGTGTGTCTATCTGTGTGTGTCTATCTGTTTGTGTGTTTATCTGTGTGTCTATCTGTGTGTCTATCTGTGTGTGTGTCTATCTGAGTGTGTCTACCTGTGTGTGTGTCTATCTGTGTGTGTATACCTGTGTGTGTGTCTATCTGTGTGTGTGTGTCTACCTGTGTGTGTGTCTATCTGTGTGTCTATCTGTGTGTCTATCTGTGTGTGTGTCTATCTGTGTGTGTCTATCTGTGTGTGTCTATCTGTGTGTGTGTCTATCTGTGTGTGTCTATCTGTGTGTGTCTATCTGTGTGTCTATCTGTGTGTCTATCTGTGTGTGTCTATCTGTGTGTCTATCTGTGTGTCTATCTGTGTGTCTATCTGTGTGTCTATCTCCCCCACAGAGCAGCACTCCCTCACCTCAGCCCTACTGCTGCAGGCGATGTCCCAACTCGTCTGTCTTCACTACGACACCCTCCTGTTGCTGGTCTACCTGTCTGTGTCTGTGTCTATCTGTGTGTCTATCTGTGTGTCTATCTGTGTGTCTATCTGTGTGTCTATCTGTGTGTCTATCTGTGTGTCTATCTCCTCCACAGAGCAGCACTCCCTCACCTCAGGCCTACTGCTGCAGGCGATGTCCCAACTCGTCTGTCTTTACTACGACACCCTCCTGTTGCTGGTCTACCTGTCTGTGTGTCTATCTGTGTGTCTATCTGTGTGTCTATCTGTGTGTCTATCTGTGTGTCTATCTCCTCCACAGAGCAGCACTCCCTCACCTCAGCCCTACTGCTGCAGGCGATGTCCCAACTCGTCTGTCTTCACTACGACTCTCTCCTGTTGCTGGTCTACCTGTCTGTGTGTGTGTCTGTGTGTCTATCTGTGTGTCTATCTGTGTGTCTATCTGTGTGTCTATCTCCCCCACAGAGCAGCACTCCCTCACCTCAGCCCTACTGCTGCAGGCGATGTCCCAACTCATCTGTCTTCACTACGACACCCTCCTGTTGCTGGGTTACCTGTCTGTGTGTGTGTCTATCTGTGTGTCTGTGTGTGTCTATCTGTGTGTCTATCTGTGTGTGTGTGTCTGTGTGTGTGTCTCTGTGTGTGACTGTGTGTGTCTGTATGTGTCTAGGTGTTTGTGTGTGTGTGTCTATCTGTGTGTCTATCTGTGTGTCTATCTGTGTGTCTATCTGTGTGTCTATCTGTGTGTCTATCTCCCCCACAGAGCAGCACTCCCTCACCTCAGGCCTACTGCTGCAGGCGATGTCCCAACTCGTCTGTCTTCACTACGACACTCTCCTGTTGCTGGTCTACCTGTCTGTGTCTGTGTCTATCTGTGTGTCCTATCTGTGTGTCTATCTGTGTGTCTATCTGTGTGTCTATCTCCCCCACAGAGCAGCACTCCCTCACCTCAGCCCTACTGCTGCAGGCGATGTCACAACTCGTCTGTCTTCACTGCGACACCCTCCTGTTGCTGGTCTACCTGTCTGTGTGTCTATCTGTGTGTCTGTGTGTCTATCTGTGTGTCTATCTGTGTGTCTATCTCCCCCACAGAGCAGCACTCCCTCACCTCAGCCCTACTGCTGCAGGCGATGTCCCAACTCGTCTGTCTTCACTATGACACCCTCCTGTTGCCGGGTTACCTGTCTGTGTGTCTATCTGTGTGTCTATCTGTGTGTCTATCTGTGTGTCTATCTGTGTGTCTATCTCCCCCACAGAGCAGCACTCCCTCACCTCAGCCCTACTGCTGCAGGCGATGTCCCAACTCGTCTGTCTTCACTATGACACCCTCCTGTTGCCGGGTTACCTGTCTGTGTGTCTATCTGTGTGTCTATCTGTGTGTCTATCTGTGTGTCTATCTGTGTGTCTATCTCCCCCACAGAGCAGCACTCCCTCACCTCAGCCCTACTGCTACAGGCGATGTCCCAACTCGTCTGTCTTCACTACGACACCCTCCTGTTGCTGGTCTAACTGTATGTGTGTGTGTCTATCTGTGTGTGTGTCTATCTGTGTGTCTATCTGTGTGTGTGTCTGTGTGTCTATCTGTGTGTCTATCTGTGTGTCTATCTGTGTGTGTCTATCTGTGTGTCTATCTGTGTGTCTATCTGTGTGTTTGTCTATCTGTGTGTCTATCTGTGTGTCTATCTGTGTGTCTATCTCCCCCACAGAGCAGCACTCCCTCACCTCAGCCCTACTGCTGCAGGCGATGTCCCAACTCGTCTGTCTTCACTATGACACCCTCCTGTTGCCGGGTTACCTGTCTGTGTGTCTATCTGTGTGTCCTATCTGTGTGTCTATCTGTGTGTCTATCTGTGTGTCTATCTCCCCCACAGAGCAGCACTCCCTCACCTCAGCCCTACTGCTACAGGCGATGTCCCAACTCGTCTGTCTTCACTACGACTCTCTCCTGTTGCTGGGTTACCTGTCTGTGTCTGTGTCTATCTGTGTGTGTGTCTATCTGTGTGTCTATCTCCCCCACAGAGCAGCACTCCCTCACCTCAGCCCTACTGCTGCAGGCGATGTCCCAACTCGTCTGTCTTCACTACGACACTCTCCTGTTGCCGGGTTACCTGTCTGTGTGTGTGTCTATCTGTGTGTCTATCTGTGTGTCTATCTCCCCCACAGAGCAGCACTCCCTCACCTCAGCCCTACTGCTGCAGGCGATGTCCCAACTCGTCTGTCTTCACTACGACTCTCTCCTGTTGCTGAGTTACCTGTCTGTGTGTGTGTCTATCTGTGTGTCTATCTGTGTGTCTATCTGTGTGTCTATCTCCCCCACAGAGCAGCACTCCCTCACCTCAGCCCTACTGCTGCAGGCGATGTCACAACTCGTCTGTCTTCACTATGACACCCTCCTGTTGCTGGTCTACCTGTCTGTGTGTGTGTCTATCTGTGTGTGTGTCTATCTGTGTGTCTATCTGTGTGTGTGTCTGTGTGTCTATCTGTGTGTCTATCTGTGTGTCTATCTGTGTGTGTCTATCTGTGTGTCTATCTGTGTGTCTATCTGTGTGTTTGTCTATCTGTGTGTCTATCTGTGTGTCTATCTGTGTGTCTATCTCCCCCACAGAGCAGCACTCCCTCACCTCAGCCCTACTGCTGCAGGCGATGTCCCAACTCGTCTGTCTTCACTATGACACCCTCCTGTTGCCGGGTTACCTGTCTGTGTGTCTATCTGTGTGTCTATCTGTGTGTCTATCTGTGTGTCTATCTGTGTGTCTATCTGTGTGTCTATCTGTGTGTCTATCTGTGTGTCTATCTCCCCCACAGAGCAGCACTCCCTCACCTCAGCCCTACTGCTGCAGGCGATGTCACAACTCGTCTGTCTTCACTGCGACACCCTCCTGTTGCTGGTCTACCTGTCTGTGTGTCTATCTGTGTGTCTGTTTGTCTATCTGTGTGTCTATCTGTGTGTCTATCTCCCCCACAGAGCAGCACTCCCTCACCTCAGCCCTACTGCTGCAGGCGATGTCCCAACTCGTCTGTCTTCACTACGACACCCTCCTGTTGCTGGGTTACCTGTCTGTGTGTCTATCTGTGTGTCTATCTGTGTGTCTATCTGTGTGTGTGTCTATCTGTGTGTCTATCTCCTCCACAGAGCAGCACTCCTTCACCTCAGGCCTACTGCTACAGGCGATGTCACAACTCGTCTGTCTTCACTACGACACCCTCCTGTTGCCGGGTTACCTGTCTGTGTGTGTGTCTATCTGTGTGTCTATCTGTGTGTGTCTATCTGTGTGTCTATCTGTGTGTGTCTATCTGTGTGTCTATCTCCCCCACAGAGCAGCACTCCCTCACCTCAGGCCTACTGCTGCAGGCGATGTCCCAACTCGTCTGTCTTCACTACGACACTCTCCTGTTGCCGGGTTACCTGTCTGTGTGTGTGTCTATCTGTGTGTCTATCTGTGTGTCTATCTGTGTGTGTGTCTGTGTGTCTATCTGTGTGTCTATCTCCCCCACAGAGCAGCACTCCCTCACCTCAGGCCTACTGCTGCAGGCGATGTCCCAACTCGTCTGTCTTCACTACGACACCCTCCTGTTGCTGGTCTACCTGTCTGTGTGTGTGTCTATCTATCTGTGTGTGTGTCTATCTGTGTGTGTCTATCTGTGTGTCTATCTGTGTGTGTGTGTCTGTGTGTGTGTGTCTCTGTGTGTGACTGTGTGTGTCTGTATGTGTCTAGGTGTTTGTGTGTGTGTGTCTATCTGTGTGTCTATCTGTGTGTCTATCTGTGTGTCTATCTGTGTGTCTATCTGTGTGTCTATCTGTGTGTCTATCTCCCCCACAGAGCAGCACTCCCTCACCTCAGCCCTACTGCTGCAGGCGATGTCACAACTCGTCTGTCTTCACTACGACTCTCTCCTGTTGCTGAGTTACCTGTCTGTGTGTGTGTCTATCTGTGTGTCTATCTGTGTGTCTATCTGTGTGTCTATCTGTGTGTCTATCTGTGTGTCTATCTCCCCCACAGAGCAGCACTCCCTCACCTCAGCCCTACTGCTGCAGGCGATGTCCCAACTCGTCTGTCTTCACTACGACACCCTCCTGTTGCCGGGTTACCTGTCTGTGTGTCTATCTGTGTGTGTGTCTATCTGTGTGTCTATCTGTGTGTCTATCTGTGTGTCTATCTGTGTGTGTGTGTCTGTGTGTGTGTGTCTCTGTGTGTGACTGTGTGTGTCTGTATGTGTCTAGGTGTTTGTGTGTCTGTGTGTGTGTGTGTCTGTGTGTGTGTGTCTATCTATCTGTGTGTCTATCTGTGTGTGTCTATCTGTGTGTCTATCTCCCCCACAGAGCAGCACTCCCTCACCTCAGCCCTACTGCTGCAGGCGATGTCCCAACTCGTCTGTCTTCACTACGACACCCTCCTGTTGCTGGTCTACCTGTCTGTGTGTGTGTCTATCTGTGTGTGTGTCTATCTGTGTGTCTATCTGTGTGTGTGTCTGTGTGTCTATCTGTGTGTCTATCTGTGTGTCTATCTGTGTGTCTATCTGTGTGTCTATCTGTGTGTCTATCTGTGTGTCTATCTCCCCCACAGAGCAGCACTCCCTCACCTCAGGCCTACTGCTGCAGGCGATGTCCCAACTCGTCTGTCTTCACTACGACTCTCTCCTGTTGCTGAGTTACCTGTCTGTGTGTGTGTCTATCTGTGTGTCTATCTGTGTGTCTATCTGTGTGTCTATCTGTGTGTCTATCTGTGTGTCTATCTCCTCCACAGAGCAGCACTCCCTCACCTCAGCCCTACTGCTGCAGGCGATGTCACAACTCGTCTGTCTTCACTACGACACTCTCCTGTTGCTGGTCTACCTGTCTGTGTGTCTATCTGTGTGTGTGTCTATCTGTGTGTCTATCTCCCCCACAGAGCAGCACTCCCTCACCTCAGCCCTACTGCTGCAGGCGATGTCCCAACTCGTCTGTCTTCACTACGACACCCTCTTGTTGCCGGGTTACCCGGATTGGTACCGGGGTCTCCGCTTGGTCCTCTCGGCCGCAGCGATCCTCCTCCTCTCGTCCACGGCCGTGATGATCACCGCCGGCAACTCCTCGGCCTCGACCGCCGGCGCCGCCATCGCCCCCGGGAACTCGGCAGCCCCGTCCGCCGGCGACACTCCACGGCTCTCTGGCCGGGTCGAGTAGAGCCGGCGTCTTTTGCCGACGTACGGTAGCGTACAGTGGCGTACAGTAGCGTACAGTGGTGTACAGTGGTGTACAGTGGTATACAGTAGCGTACGGTGGTGTACAGTAGCGTACGGTGGCGTACAGTAGCGTACGGTGGTGTACAGTAGCGTACAGTGCCGTACAGTTGCGTACAGTAGGGTACGGTAGCGTACGTGCCGTACAGTAGCGTACGGTGGCGTACAGTGGCGTACAGTAGCGTACAGTGGCGTACGGTGGCGTACAGTGGCGTACAGTAGCGTGCAGTGGTATACAGTAGCGTACGGTGGTGTACGGTAGCGTACGGTAGTGTACGTTAGCGTTGTGTTGGTGTTTTTGGAATCTGATTGATTTGATTGCTTCTGGCCGACTGGCTGAGGTTAGTCTTGGTGACTGTGGTCCCAGCTGCCTTGAGATCGTTGACAAGATCCTCCCGTGTAGTTCTGGGCTGATCCCTCACCGTTCTCATGATCATTGCAACTCCACGGGGTGAGATCTTGCATGTAGCCCCAGGCCGAGGGAGATTGACAGTTCTTTTGCGTTTCTTCCATTTGCGAATAATCGCACCAACTGTTGTCACCTTCTCACCAAGCTGCTTGGCAATGGTCTTGTAGCCCATTCCAGCCTTGTGTATGTCTACAATCTTGTCCCTGACGTCCTTGGAGAGCTCTTTGGTCTTGGCCACGGTGGAGAGTTTGGAATCTGATTGATTTGATTGCTTCTGTGGACAGGTGCCTTTTGTACAGGTGACAAGCTGAGATTAGGAGCACTCCCTTTAAGAGTGGGCTCCTAATCTCAGCTTGTTACCTGTATAAAAAGACACCTGGGAGCCAGAAATCTTTATGATTGAGAGGGGGTCAAATACTTATTTCCCTCATTAAAATGCAAATCAATTTATAACATTTTTGACATGCGTTTTTCTGGATTTTTGTTGTTGTTATTCTGTCTATTCTCACTGTTCAAATAAACCTACCATTATAATTATAGACTGATCATTTCTTTGTCAGTGGGCAAACGTACAAAATCAGCAGGGGATCAAATACTTTTTACCTCACTGTAATAGTGTAGTGTTTAGTAGTGTATAGTGTAGTGTATAGTAGTGTAGTGCATAGTAGTGTAGTGTATAGTAGTGTAGTGTATAGTAATGTATAGTAGTGTAGTCTATAGTGTAGTGCATAGTAGTGTAGTGTATAGTAGTGTAGTGTATAGTAATGTATAGTAGTGTACTGTATAGTAGTGTATAGTAATGTGGTGTAGTGTATAGTGGTGTAGTGTATAGTGGTGTAGTCTATAGTAGTGTAGTGTATAGTAGTGTAGTGTATAGTAGTGTAGTGTATAGTAGTAGTGTAGTGTATAGTAGTAGTGTATAGTAGTGTAGTGTACAGTGTAGTGTATAGTAGTGTAGTGTATAGTAATAGTGTATAGTAGTGTAGTGTATAGTAGTGTAGTGAATAGTAGTGTAGTGTATAGTAGTGTAGTGTATAGTAGTGTAGTGTATAGTAGTGTAGTGTATAGTAGTGTAGTGTATAATAGTATAGTGTATAGTAGTGCAGTGTATAGTAGTGTAATGTATAGTAGTGTAGTGTATAGTGTAGTGTATAGTAATAGTGTATAGTAGTGCAGTGTATAGTAGTGTAATGTATAGTAGTGTAGTATATAGTAGTGTAGTGTATAGTAGTATAGTGTATAGTAGTGTAGTGTATAGTGTAGTGTATAGTAGTGTAGTGTATAGTAGTAGTGTAGTGTATAGTAGTGCAGTGTATAGTAGTGTAGTGTATAGTAGTGTAGTGTATAGTAGTGTAGTGTATAGTAGTGTAGTGTATAGTAGTGTATAGTAGTGTAGTGTATAGTAGTGTAGTGTATAGTAGTGCAGTGTATAGTAGTGTAGTGTATAGTAGTGTAGTGTATAGTAGTGTAGTGTATAGTAGTGTAGTGTATAGTAGTAGTGTAGTGTATAGTAGTGTAGTGTATAGTAGTGTAGTAGTGTATAGTAGTGTAGTAGTATAGTAGTGTATAGTAGCATATTGTGTAGTAGTGTAGTGGTGTGTGTGTCTATGTCTGTGTGTGTGTCTGTGTGTCTATGTGTCTGTGTGTCTATGTCTGTGTGTGTGAGTGTGTCTGTGTGTGTGTGAGTGTGTCTCTGTGTTGGTGTGTGTCTGTGTCTGTGTGTCTATCTCTGTATCTGTGTGTGTGAGTGTGTCTGTGTGTGAGTGTACGTGTGTCTATGTGTCTGTGTGTGTGTCTGTGCAGTCGCCCTCCAACAACAACGGAGGGCGGAGGAGCGACGCTCACAACAACGAGCAGGGCGCCGGGTGGCTAAAGCACAGCAGGTTGGCACAGTAGGGGGCACAGGTGGTGCATCAGCCAGTCATCTCAGTCAGTCGACCCGTGGCACCTGCTGGGTCTGCCCCGTGACCTCCTGCCAGCGGGCGTTCGACACTTCACGTGGCCTCAGGGTGCACATAGCCTGGCACAAGCGTCGTGGTGACGTCACCGCCACTTAGTGGCAAATGGCGGTTGTTGTGTGTCTATGTGTCTGTGTGTCTATGTCTGTGTGTGTCTGTGCCTATGTGTCTATGTGTGTGTCTATCTCTGTGTCTCTTATGTGTGTGTGAGTGTGTGTCTGTGTGTGTGTGAGTGAGTGTGTGTGTGAGTATGTGTCTGTGTGTGTGTGTCTCTGTGTGTGACTGTGTGTGTCTGTATGTGTCTAGGTGTCTGTGTGTGTGTCTGTGTGTGCATCCACACTCACACCTTACTGGAAGAGTCATTTACATATTAAATAATTTAAATTGCGTGTCTGTGTGTGTCACTGTGTGTCTGTGTCACACACACCCACACGCACACACACAGACACACACACAGACACCCACCCACACACACACACCCACACACCCACACACACACAGACACACACAGACACAGACACACAGACACACAGACACACACAGACACACACAGTCACACACAGTCACACACACAGTCACACACACAGTCACACAGACACACAGACACACACAGACACACACACAGACACACACACGCAGACACACACACACGCAGACACACAGACACACACACAGACACACACACAGACACACATACACAGACACACATACACAGACACACACACACACAGACACACACACAGACACACACACAGTCACACACACCCACAGTCACACACACACACAGACACACACACACACAGTGAAACACACACACAGACACACAGACACATACACAGACACACACACAGACACACACACACGCAGACACACACACACGCAGACACACAGACACACACACAGACACACACACAGACACACACACACACACAGCCACACACAGACACACACAGACACACAGTCACACACACAGACACACACACACAGTCACACACAGACACACACAGACACACACACACACAGACACACACAAACAGTCACACACAGACACACACACACAGACACACACACACAGACACACACACAGACACACACACATACACACAGACACACACACACGCAGACACACACACACGCAGACACACAGACACACACACAGACACACACACAGACACACACACACACACAGCCACACACAGACACACACAGACACACAGTCACACACACAGACACACACACACAGTCACACACAGACACACACAGACACACACACACACAGACACACACAAACAGTCACACACAGACACACACACACAGACACACACACACAGACACACACACAGACACACACAGTCACACACAGACACACACAGTCACACACACACAGTCACACACAGACACACACAAACAGTCACACACACAGACACACACAAACAGTCACACACAAACAGTCACACACACACACAGACACACACACACAGACACACACATACACACAGACACACACACGCAAGGTCACGAGACCTTTATCGCGAGCTGCCCGCTGATCAGGACGTACAGAACCTCGCTCCCCACTCACTCGCGCACAGGCAGACACACACAGAGACCACAGCTCCCCCGGGTAGCCTCCAGCAGGCTGTAGGGGCAAGTGCTGTTACAGCCAGCCACTCACTCAACCACTCACTCAGCCACTCACTCAGCCACTCACTCAACCACTCACTCAGCCACTCACTCAGCCACTCACTCAGCCACTCACTCAACCACTCACTCAGCCACTCACTCAGCCACTCACTCAACCACTCACTCAGCCACTCACTCAGCCACTCACTCAACCACTCACTCAGCCACTCACTCAGCCACTCACTCAGCCACTCACTCAGCCACTCACTCAGACACTCACTCAGACACTCACTCAGCCACTCACTCACTCAGCTACTCAGCTACTCACTCAGCCACTCACTCAGCCACTCACTCAGACACTCACCCACTCACTGAGCCACTCAGCTACTCACTCACCCACTCACTCACTCAGCCACTCACTCACTCAGACACTCACTCACTCAGACACTCACTAACTCACTCAGACACTCACTAACTCACTCAGACACTCACTAACTCACTCAGACACTCACTCACTCAGACACTCACTCAGCTACTCACTCACTCAGCCACTAACTCAGCCACTCACTCTCTCAGCCACTCACTCAGTAATTCACTCAGTAATTCACTCATCCACTCACTCAGCAACTCATTCACTCACTCACTCAGACACTCACCCACTCAGCCACTCACTGAGCCACTCACTCAGCTACTCACTCAGCCACTCACTCACCACTCATTCACTCAGTCACTCACTCACTCAGACACTCACCCACTCAGCCACTCAGCCACTCACTCAGTTATTCACTCAGCTACTCACTCAGACACTCACTCACTCAGACACTCACCCACTCAGCCACTCACTCAGTAATTCACTCACTCAGACACTCACCGACTCAGCCACTCACTCAGCTACTCACTCAGCCACTCATTCACTCAGCCACTCACTCACCCACTCAGACACTCACCCACTCAGCCACTCACTCAGCTACTCACTCAGCCACTCACTGAGCCACTCACTCAGCTACTCACTCAGCCACTCACTCACCACTCATTCACTCAGTCACTCACTCACTCAGACACCCACTCACCCACTCAGCCACTCACTCAGTAATTCACTCACTCAGACACTCACCGACTCAGCCACTTACTCAGCTACTCACTCAGCCACTCACTTAGCCACTCATTCACTCAGCCACTCAGCCACTCATTCACTCAGCCACTCACTCACTCACTCACCCACTCAGACACTCACCCACTCAGACACTCACTCAGCTACTCACTCAGCCACTCACTCAGCCACTCATTCACTCAGCCACTCACTCACTCACCCACTCAGACACTCACCCACTCAGACACTCACTCAGCTACTCACTCAGCCACTCACTTAGCCACTCATTCACTCAGCCACTCAGCCACTCATTCACTCAGCCACTCACTCACTCACCCACTCAGACACTCACCCACTCAGACACTCACTCAGCTACTCACTCAGCCACTCACTCA